TTAAAAAATATATAATTTTAATATTTATTTATATTCAATGCTATATTTTTAATCTCATAACTAATATTTATCCAAGTTCAAATATCTCTCTTTTCTAACTTTAATATTTATTTTTATATGAAATTGAATAATTTGTTAAGTTTCAAGTCAAAAAATTAAAATTTCAGTTGAAAATTGTATTTTTTTAAAAAAAATTTATAATCCGGTTCAAAACTGAACCAGACCGAAACCGATTCTGATTTTTTTTAAAATTAAAATTGAACCGAACAAAACTGAATGAATAGTAATGGATCGGTTCTAATTTGAGGCAAAAACCGGTCCAAACCGAACCGTGCCCACCCCTAGTTATGAAGACTTCACTTTTTCTTCTTTCTGCCAATGTGAAACAAGAGTCCTTGAATTTCATTAAACTTCCAATGCATTTGTCATCTAAAAGTAGGTTGGTCGACTTGATGTCGCGGTGATAAATGGGAACGGAAGCTGCAAAGTGCAAGTACGAAATTGCTGGTGGATATAATGGGAAAGGGTTCCGTTTGATATGAATTCGTAAACCAAAAGTGGAACTTCGGTCTCCAAACAACAACCCAACAGTTGAACCACATTTCTGTGGATGATTTGTGAAAGAATTACAACCTTATTGATGAAATCTGAAAGTTTGCCTTTGTCCACTATTTTAGACTTTTTCACAGCAACAATTCTTCCATCAGCCAGCATACCTCTGTAAACAGTACCTTGACCTCTCAGGCCAAGAATCCTATCCGCGCTAAAATTGTCGGTGGACTTCTCAAACTCTTTCGATTTGAACAACTTGATTTTCTCAACATTAACTCCTTAAGGAGAGTCAGCATTATAACACTCCTTAAGGACCTTGCATTCATCAATACCTGAAATTAATGGAATATATTAGCCAACGCCAAAGGAAAACGAAAAACATAAGAATTATATTTCTATATGGATATTACTTGCCTCCTTCCTTGGAAGGAGATTCTCCTACTTGGTGCATATCATAGTTTGACGCATTTGCAAAAATAATTCATCAAAAACACAAAAAGAAAAACTTCTACACACATGTCATACCCGCCATTGACAAAAATGTAGGAATTCCTACTTACAAAGTAAGAGATAAGTATTTTCCTTTATGTATTAATTACTATTTATAAATAAAGTGCAATTATCAAACGAATAATCTGATATTTTTCTTAATAACGAGGACAAGTTGTTCGATGAAATGCCTCAAGAAACTGAGGAAAGGACAAGCAATGTTTGACGGCTTCATTCTCTTCCATTTAATATTAATTAAGAAAAAGTCGAATGGACAATAACAATTGACAAGCTTGGAGAAGATATAGGGACTTCCTTCAAAGCCGAATGGACAATAACAATTGACCGTTGAAGGATTATTGTATGTCATTAGACATAAAGCAATAGGGTCTTGAGTCATTATAAACTCTTAGACACCAAAACTCTTAGAATTCTCAGGAACCCTCTCTCCCCTAAACACTGAATCTTTACTTCTGAGATTATTACTGATAGTACGTACCATACATTACATTACAGAACATCATAATCTAAAACAACATATAATAGTGTACGGCATCAAATTAAACATATTTTACAAGACCCAAGTGTTTTAATTAACTTGTTTACCATGTCTCAGAAGATGATCGCCAAAACTCATCAGATGTTGAATTTGGGCCCGCATCCGAGGCTGACTCTGTTGAACATGAAACAACATCCAAATACTCATTCGTGTCGTTTATAGCAGATTGAACCCCATTGTAATTATGTTGAGCATTAGAAGATTTTTCAACCAACATTTGAATGGCCTCCAACACCGCTGTGACCTCTCTCATAGTGGGGCGGTTCCTACCATTCAAATCCAAGCACCTCTTTGCAAGGTTAGCAAAAGTTGTGATATCTGTTTTGGAGCCCTCCATCACAACCCTAGCATCAAGAATGTCAAATAGTCGGCCTTCCTCCATCGAAATAATGAAACAAGTGGCAAGACTTCTGTGTTCTTTTTCTTGTGACCCGGTTACTGCAAAAACTGGTTGTAGTCCGGTCAAGAGCTCAACTAGAACAACTCCGAAACTATAGACATCACTTTTCTCCGTAAATTGGCTTGATTGGAAGTATTCAGGGTCCAGGTAACCAAATGTGCCGTGTACAACGGTGGTCAAGTGTGTCTGGCCAATCACAATTGATCTTGAAGTTCCAAAGTCAGCAACTTTTCCTGTGTATTTCTCATCTAAGAGTATGTTGGTAGATTTGATGTCTCTGTGATATATAGGAAACGAAGCTGCACCATGTAAGTACGACAGAGCTCCTGCAATTTCTGTTGCAATTCGTAACCGCATTTTCCATGTAAGTGGAAAGTCTTCATTCTGCTCATGAATATAGTGGGAAAGCGTTCCATTCGGTATGAATTCGTAAACTAAGAGTGGAACTTCCGTCTCTAAACAACAACCCAATAGTTGAACCACATTTCTGTGATTGATTTGTGAAAGAATCACAACCTCATTGATGAATTCTGAAAGTTGACCTTCATCTATTATCTTAGACTTCTTTATCGCAACCACTCTTCCATCTGCAAACATTCCTTTGTAGACGGTACATTGGCCTCCTTGGCCAAGAATTCTATCAATGTTGAATTTGTCAGTGGACTTCTCCAACTCCTCTGAATTGAACAACTTGATTTTCTCAACATTGATTTCCCCTGATGATAATTGTTGTTGTAACAATAAACCACCGTTTCGTTTGAAAAACTTTTCCTTGCGTTTAATGTTTTTCCTTTTTTTTATGACTTTGTATGCATACCATGCACCCACGAGTAGCAACAATAGTCCGGGACCCATGAAAACACCTGCATATATAAATATACTTGGAATTACTTTTTCTTCCGAATTACTTTTTTATTTAAGATGTGGGATAAAAAATTAAAAAAAGTTACAGCATTCTCCAACAAAGTGAAATCCGAATGTCATTATTTTGAGGAAAGCTTGCTTTCATAATTAAAAGAAATAGAAAATTAGATATTAACCCAAAATGTGTAGCTGATTTAAATGTGTTAGCTGATTTTTTGAGCTAGATAGGTTGACTTTTCTGAATGCCTATTTTACCCCCAATTATATCCCCCTTTTTTTCCCAAAAAAAATAAACTTTTTCCATTCCCTGTGAAATTAATTGCACAATAACCATTTATAATACAAACCTACAAAGGAGAATATGATTTGTGAGTTTTCTGCATATGTACGTATACTAATTATGTCTTCCTATTAATACATGTCTTTCATCTCTTCCTGAAATTGCTTCATCATTTTCTCTTTGCTGGAAAAGCGTTCTATTTCAGCAAATCCTTACTAACAACAATGGATTGCTAAAAGAACTCTAACTATTATGAGATCGAAACAGCAAACGTAAACCTCTTGGGTACGTATTTTAGGAACTCATTCTATAATTTCATATTGTTTAGCTAAAGTGAAAGTTTTTCCATTTAAATATTTTTTTTAGTTCCAATGTGTGTATATAGAAGTCCGCATAGGAGAACTTTTGTATATATATATAAGGTGAGGATCCGGAGACACACAAAAAGCCACAAATTTATACACACATTTTCAACCTTCAGATTAAAGCAGTTTTAATGGGTAAGATTGCATTTGAAAAAAAGGTCAATAACCTCAACTATAATTTGTTTTATTCTAGCCATAAGTGTTTAAAAGTACGTACTTTTAATTTGTTTTCATTATTTATCTTCTGATTCGATAGGCAAAATAGCCATAGAACATAAATAATAAATGCAAATTGAGCCTAGATTCAATAAGTAAATAATAATGAACTCTAAACTGTATAAGAGCATACCTAAAAGAACATTTCTGATTCGATAGGCCCGAGAGGGCAGAGGCGGCTCT